GACAGGAGGCCAGTTCTGCCACAGTAGAGTGCTGCCCTTCCTGGGGAGGTCCTTGGGGAGCCGGGAGCATGGAGCCACCAGGGGAAGGGGCCGGGAGCATGGAGCCACCAGGGGAAGGGGCCGGGGAGCACCAAAACAGAAGTGCAGTGGAGGCCCTGGCGAGAGATAAGGACTTGGCCCTGGGCAACATGACCTAAGAGCCAGCAAACTCTGGACACTTCTAGAAAATAAAGCTATCCCATTTTACAAATGGACCAGATACAGGGGAAAGGAGAGGACAGGGAGAGAAGGACCACAAGGCTTTACACCCAAGTAACTAAGAACATGATAACTGCCAGAAACTAAGACAGGGACTGCGCAGGGAGGGGCTGGCTAACCAACACTCCCGGGCATTCAGAACCACACCCATCACTGGCCAGGCACCCGTTACACACCCAAGCCAGGGGGTTGGACACAGAGAACCAGTCAGGGCCACCGATGTGGATGGGGAAGGAGCCAGCAGGTTCCTTAACAGCCTGGCTGCCCCAGGGGAGGGGACACAGAGCCAAACGCTGCATGGTGAGCCGGTCGCCAACTCCAGATCAGTGAGATGAGCAGAAGCCAGGTGGGAGAAAAGCCAGGCAGGCATCAGGTCCCGAATTCGAGCCGGGAAAAGGGCCCCTGGAGGGCGAGTGGTGAGCTCTGTGTCGGGACAGGTGGCTGCCAAGTCTTCATCAAGTTCTAATGCACTCAGCCCCTCCACGGACGCCACACCTGTGGCGGCTTTAGGGGTACCAGATGCCACACACTTACCAGCCTGGTGTTTTACAGTGTAAGTGCAAATCCGCTGGCTCCGTCCACCAACCACTGCAAACCACAACTTGGCAGCACACTGCTACAGCCTCAGCATGTCATGAAGGCTCCACCGACTGGACACGTGGTCCCTGCTGCAGCCATGCCGAGGGCGGCCGAGCGTGGGGGGTCCTCACAAATTCACGGAGGTCTCACAAGACAAGGGCCTGTGCTGCACAGTGAGCTGTTCCAGAAAGTGCAAACCGGTCCCTGGTACATTCCCTCATCATGTGATGTCTTCCTCTTGCCTGAACCCTGCCTGCCATGCTGTGATGCAGCCCACAGGGAACCCCACCAGAGGCCAAGCACATGGAGCTGCCCAGGCCCAGCTGGCCAGCCTCCCCCTCGTCGGCAAAGCGCCCAGGCTCAGCTAGCTCCTTACACACTAACACAGCCACTCCGGTAGACTGACAGCCAGACCATTTTTGAGAAATATTCAGGTTTTCATTTTATCTGACAGGCAGAGCAAGAGAGATCTTCCATCTGCTGGTTCCCGCCCCGACTGCCCACGACAGCCAGGGCTGGGCCAGGCTGGAACCACAGCCCAGGGCTCCCTTTGGGCCCCTTAGGTGGGTGGGAGAGAGCCAAGCACACGAACCCCCAAAGCTGCCTTCCAGGGTGTACACAGGAGCTGGACCAGAATTTGCTTCTAAATGTGGTTCATAGTTTGACAAGCTGCTGCCTACCATATGAGACAAAGCTGACAGAAGCAAAGCTCCTGGGTAGCATTTTAGGAGGCCACAAAGGGGCTGCCACCATGGGCACCCACATCCCATATGGGCGCTGGTTCGAGTCCCAGCTGCTCCACTTCCCATCCAGCTCCCTTGCTCACAGCCTGGGAAGGAAGCACAGGTGCCCCATGCCGCTGCACCTGTCTGGGAGAAGATGCTCCAGGCTCTTGCCTTTGGTCCGACCCAGCCCCACCCACTGCAGCCATCTGGGAAGTGAACCAGCGGATGGAAAATGCTTTTCTCCTCTCTAACTCTGCCTTTCAAACCAACGAACAGAAGTGGGCACTAGGCAGGCCAGGTACGGCAGCAGGGGCTGCTCATCCCGCCAGGGGTACCTGGGCAGGGCAAAGGGCCCAAACGGAAGACAGGCAACTGCACCCCGGTGACCTCGAAGGAGGCGCCGAGCGGCCCCAGGCGGTCTAAGCGGACACCGTGGCCCACCAGGACCTGAGGGAACAGAGGCCAGCGCCCGGGATGCGTGGACACACAGCACAAGCAGCGAGGCCGCCGTCCGGAGAGGGCGGAGGGCACGTCGGCTCACCTGGCCCGTAGCTCTGCCCCTCGTGCCCGTGGGCTCCTGCCGGTTGCTTCCCGCCTGGACCAGGGCAGCGTCGCTGGACGGCAGAGCTGCAGGGGAGAAGGGGCCGCTCAGACACCGCGTCTGCGCGCAACCCCGAGCCCCAGCCTGTGCACACCCCGCGTCCGCCCCACAGGCTCGCGTGGACGCTGCCTCGGGCGAGCCACGGTGGCCTCCCGCACCCGCCGGCCCCTCACCTCCGGGCCCGGGCCCCGGGGTCGCGCGGCCGCCCCTGGAGCGCGGCCTCCCCCGGGCGGGGCGGCCAGAGGCTGCGGGGGCGCCCGGGGCCGGGCCTCGACCCGCCCTGGGCTTGGCGCGGAGGCCGGGGCGGCCCATTTCCCGCGAGCCGCGAGCCCCGGCGCCCCGCATCTCCCCGGAGCAGCGCCCACGCCCTCGCCCGCACCCCGACACACCCCCGGCCACACCCGCCCGCCGGAAGTGGGCGGTGCCTGCGCGCACTGCCCGCTGGGAAATGTTGTCCCTGGCAGGCGCGGCTGCCCCGGAGGCCGCCCAGGATACACACTGCTGCTTCGCAGAGACTTGTGGGAGTGGGAGCTGGGCTAGGGACGAGCAGGCGCAGTGTCAGGACTGGGACGGTGCAAGCTGACGGAGCGGGGTCCTGGGTTTGCTTCCCGCGCAGAGGGCCACCCCGGAGCAGAGAACGCTGCCAAGCCCCGTGTGACTGACGGGCATGGCTGTGGAAGGAGCAGCGGCGCTGCCCTCATCTCCCCGGAGTCACTCACGCAGTACTGGGGTGCCGAATCTGCACCCCGGATCCCTAATAGGTGTCACTCCCGCCTCTGAGCTCTGCAGTCAGCGGGTGTTTTTATTCAGGTACAAGGTCTGCGGGAAAGGGAGGCGGAGGAGGAACTGTCAGAAAGGACTGGTCCCCGAGCTAAGCAAAGCCTTCTGAACCCAACAGGGAGAGCAACGCTCTGTATCCTCTATAAGATAAAGTCACGTGCCACTTGAGGGTGACAGTCCCGAGACACGTGTACTGGCACAACCATATGTGATCCGTCACTGCCCGAAACCTTCCGTGGCATCTGGTGACATTTTTTCTGACTATATCCTTAAAGTGTAATGAATGAACTTCCCTATGAGCGGCAAAATACGGAGCTACTTCCAATTGGATAACTATCAAAGTTCGTTTTTCAAAATATCTGTTATTTTGACAGGCTGAGACACGCCGCTCCCTGCTGGCTTACCTGTCAGGTGCCTGCAGTGACTGGGGCTGCGTCAGGTTGAGACCAGAAGCCAAGAACCCAATCCAGGCCTCCCACATGGTGGGCAACCCAAGTACTGGGGCCGACCATCAGCTGCTGAATCCCTGGCTCCTCAGGAATGGGGAGCAGAGCTGGGACTCGAACCCAAGGGCTCTGATACGAAATGTAATCAAGCCTTTATCTTAGCCACTAGAACCCCAAAGACCACTGCGCCCCGTCTCGCCCACTGACACAGCAGAAAATCTCACTTTTTTGCAATATACTAAACTCATGAGTAAATGGCATTTTTAAAAATGTCCTTCACGATGCTAACTACCAATTCTACATGCTTTTCAGACATGTCAATGAAAAAACATTTTGCAACTAATTCTACTCGAACTTGAGAAAATTTCACAAGCACCTTTACCACACTCAGACATCCATCTAGGAGTAAGTCGTGATTTCTGTCAATTCAGAGATTCTGTCAACAAAGGTTAATGATTTCCTTTCTACACACAAAACCCTCAACATGTTTATCTCAACACTTAGTCTATTCCACAACAGTAGAGCGGTTGCTTGGAGTTTAAAACCTGTGACGTGGTCTTGGATAGACAGATCACTCAAGTTCCCATCTCCTTGGCTGAGCGTTGTTTTCTTTTGCCTTGACTAAGTAATCAGGCATCTAGCCTTCCCAGCAAATCCTTTATCATCGCAGCCATAGCCAGAACGCCAGCCACATGCCACTCTAGCATTATCGTAAAATGTAAACACATCCCATGGCTAGTCACATCCACTTCAAGATGGGACTGCTCCAGTGTACTCTGTTCCAGTATTCTCTGTTCAAAACTAGTTTGCAAGCCGACTTCGAATGGCACTAAGCTTAACACCCCTCGCTCGGCAGGAGCCAGTGTTGTCTTACAAGCCTGTTGTCTTGGCATCTGTCTTAATTAGAAGTTTTAACTCTTCCATACCACGATCAAAGCTCACCTTTAGCAGTTTCCAATTCTACACAAGCCTAAATCAGTCAGGCCAGGGGCCAGTTACAACCTAAGCAGTTCTAGATAGTAACTTTTTACCACTTCGTTTAAACAGGCCACTCAGGAATTTGCCTGCAAACTTGCCACAGTGACTTTCCCAGTCATGTTAGCCCCTGGAATTCATGCCTATGCTGTAACCCCACCAAATAAAACTCCCCACGGGAAAGCAGGGTAGCTAGGGCCCTGGTCCAGGAACAGCTCTGGATCAGAGGCCCCGGCCTCCACGCAAGCCCTGCGCTCCGAGACTGTGGCCTCGGGTGTGCTGTGTGCAGATGACCTTGCCAGGTCTCAAGGGATGCCCTCCACCTTAAAGACAGTCATGATACTAAGCACATTATACCACCAAAGAGTTTTAAAATTTAGTAGCCAGATTTTTGGGAGTAACAGAATTACAGTTTTTAAAAATCATTGTGGTCCTAATGTGAAAAACGAAAGAGAAGAGAGGAGGACACAGTGGAGAGTTGCTGGGAGTCAAATGACTCTTTTTGGACAGTGGGAATCTAAAGTGGGTTGAATCCAGAAACGGCAGATAATCCACAGGACTTGGTGGCAAGGAGGAGCTGGACAGACGCCTCAAGGGACAACGCCATGAACTCACGAAGGACAAGCAACGTGAGCACACTCTTTTCCAAAGATATTTCCACATCCTTCACATTAAGCTCTCTCTGATATGAAAATCTTCCACGTCAAGGGTCCATGTGGTTCATGACGCTCGTAACATTCACATGGTTTTTCAGTAAAGGACTGACGACGGTTAACCACTTTGCCATGAGCATTATGTTCAGGGTTTCTTTCTAGTATGACACCTTTGGTGACAATTAAGATGTGTATTTGTTCTGAACGCCTTTCCACACTTAACACATACGTAGGGCTTCTCACCAGTATGAAGCCTTTGGTGCTGAGCGCGAGTGGATGTGTCGGCAAAAGCCTTTCCACATTCAGCACATTTATAGGGCTTCTCCCCAGTGTGAATTCTCTTGTGGCGTATGAGACTCGCAGTGTGGCTGAAGGCCTTCCCGCACTGCTCACACTCATAGGGCTTCTCTCCTGTGTGAATCTTCTCATGGTTTACCAGATATGCCCTCTGTCTGAAGGCCTTCCCACACTGCTTACACTCATACGGCTTCTCTCCAGTGTGGATCCTCTGATGCGCAGCCAGCTGAGAACTGTCTCTGAATGCTTTCCCACATTCCTTGCACTCATAGGGTTTTTCGCCAGTGTGAATTCTCAAATGAATAGCCAGGTGTGTACTTTGCCTAAAGGCTTTCCCACATACCTTACATTCATACGGTTTCTCACCAGAATGTACTCTCTGATGACCAATGAGTGACATGCGGTGGCTGAAGGCTTTCCCACAAACATCACAATCATAGGGTTTCTCTCCTGTGTGAATCCTCTGATGCACAGTCATGGAAAAACCACTGCGGGAGGATTTGCCACACACGTTGCATTTGAAAGCTTTCCCACAATCAATGCAATCAAAAGGTTTCTCTCCGGTATGGAAGCGCCGAATATGAGAGATAAGGGGCATGTTGTACCTGAAGGCTTTCCCACACTCACTGCATTCGTAGGGAAGCTTGCCACTGTGACATCTCTGGTGCTGAGCAAAAGCTGAACTGTGCCTGAAAGCCTTCCCACATTCCTGACACTCATAGGGTTTCTCTTGCGTGTGAATCTTCTGATGCTGAGCAAGGTGTGCTGGCTGCCTGAAGGCCTTCTCACACTCCTGACATTTAAACAGCTTCTCTCCAGTGTGTGTTCTACGATGCTGAGCCAGGTGGTGACTTTGTTTGAAAGCTTTTCCGCATTCCTTGCATTTATATGGCTTTTCGCCAGTATGAATTCGCTGGTGAACGGTAACAGATGAGCTATGGGTGAAGGTTTTCTCACATTCAGTACATTTAAAAAGATTCTTCCCAGCATATACTTTCTTGTATTTTAGTACTTTGGGGTTTTTAGAAAAGCTTCTTCTGTTTGACTTGTGATTATAAACACTCTCTTCTGCGATGTCCATATGGACAAACTTTCGAGATGTGGTGTATTTATGGACTGTTTCCACGGGGAGGGTTTCTTTCTGAGTGACTATTTCTTGCCTGCTGAATGTCTGTTGCTTTGCCATCCGCCTTTCAAAAGGACCTTCACATTTCTGATTTCTTCCACGACTGGAGCATGCAAATCCAAGGCTTGTCATTCCCTCCATTAACACGTCATCACATTTAAACTGTTTCAGAGACGATTCCTGGGTCTCACGTATAGACTCTCCATCTGAAAGATGTATGGAAAAATGTAATTATGGGCTGTAACAAATGAAGCCATTAAAATGAGAAAGGGGGCTCAAATCTCTTTAGTGAGTCACACATTCTATTCCACAGAAATCTCAAGTAGGAAATATCGAAGGAATCCCAGAGGATGGGAACTGAGAGAGAACACAGGACATTGATGGAGCGGCTCTTCAGTCTAGCAATTCTGATGCTGGCTAAGACGCCCACATCCCACAACACAGGACCCGGGCCAACTTTCAGCTCTGCCTCAGGACTCGAGCTTCCTGCTGATGCACACCCAAGGGGTAGTAGCAACTACACAAATTACTACATGGGTTCCTGCTACCAAGTTGGAGTTCTGCCCTCAAAGTCTTGGCAAAGCTCTGATCAATCCAGGCACTTGGGTTTGACTGAGTTAGAAGCATTCCCTGCAGTCCAAATCAAATTTTTTGTTTGTTTCTAAAATAAAAATGATTCCCCAACTACAGGCAACTGCCTAGGTTGCTTTGTACCTAGATAAGTGATAACACTGCTGGGAAAAAAAGCAGCCAAGAGCTGGTGGGAATTATGGACCTGGTTAATGCCAAATTTGTGTTAATACCAATGTGCTTGCATAGTTGCCTATATTTTTCTTTCTTTTTCTTTTCTTTTCTTTTTTTTTTAAAGATATATGGGAAGGCAGTGAGCGCTGGCTCTGGACACACCACTCTAGCCCCCAGGTGGTGGGCAGAGGAGCCTGCAGATTGCCTGGCAAAGGAATGTGAGGACATACTGGGATAGGAGCAGCCAAAGGCTTGTTGACAGGGAAAGGATACTTGTGGGGTATTCCAGAGCCAGGGCCTCTGCTCAAAATCAGAGCCAGTGATGTGCTATAGGAGTTAAGCTGTTGCCTGCAGTGCCAATAACCCCTATGGATGCCAGTTCAAGGCCCAGTTGCTCCACTTGTGATCCAGCTTCCTGCTCATGCGTCTGGGAAAGCAGCAGAGCATGACCAAGGGCTAAGGCCTCTGCACCCAATGGGAGCCAGAGGGAAACTCCTGGCTGTTGGTTTCAGTCTGTCCCAGCCCCAGCTGCCGTGGCCATTTGAGGAACGAACCAGTGGTAGAAGACCTTTCTCTCTACCTCTCCCCGTCTCTGTAACTCTGTCTTTCATACAGAATAAGTCTTAAGAAGACAGAAACAGAAACACTGAATCTTTACAGGAAAGGGAGAGAGGAAATGGGAAGGGACTAGAACAAATTTGTACTATATGTTATTAGAAGAGTCTAGTAAAAGAGAAGTTCTAAGTAAAGTGTTACTTTTTTTCTGTAGGTCTATGAGACATAAGAATAACTTCTGAGAGGCACAAGTGACACGCACCACCTTTGGGTGTAGCTGAGTCACTGAGAAAGGATTTCCCTGGCCGCCTCTTCCATACGCACCTGGCAAGGAGCTTCCTGTCATCTCACTCTTCCTCTTCCAAGGCTCCTTCCCTTGCTCCAGCAAGGAGATCACACGCGGCTTAGAAATACAAACTCCTACATATAAACAAAGTATGAGAATGGGCCATGTTTGGGTTCACTTAGTATCATAAACCAATTAATTAATTCTGGTTAAAATGGCATTCTAGAAATTACTGGGTAAGAGAAAGCACATTTGAAGAATAAATAAAACTCTGGAATACTCCAGGCTAGACTTCGAAGAGTGAACTCTACAAAAGTTAATCTATTTTCTGTGGGACAGCATTTTCTGAAAATAATTTTAAATAGTAAATTACATATTTTGAAGGGCCCTTAAGAGGAATATTTTAGAGGTTAAGCTGTCAACTTCCTGCATAAAAAACTAAAAGCAATATTCTTCAGGGGAATATGACAAACTCCAATCTCTAAAATATTTTACTTATACTGTTCATGAGAAAATCTAAAGTTACTAGAAATAATAAGAAAAAATTAATCGGTCCTCAAAAGAAAAGGCATAAAAACCCACCCTACAATATTTATAGATAGTGACTTAGTAAACAAGGATTTAAAGCAACCATTATGGGGTCAGCATGGTAGCCCAGCAAGCTCATCCTCCAGGCTGTGGCAACAGGATCTCATACGGGCGCTGGTTCAAGTCCTGGCTGCTCCACTTCCTAGCCAGCTCCTGCTAATGGCTTGGGAGAACAGTGGAGGATGGCCAAAGGTTTGGGGATCCTGCAGCCACATGAGACCCAAAAGGAGCTCCTGGCTCTGGCTTTGGATCAGTTCAGCTCTGTCTGTTGCAGCCATGTAGGGAGCGAATCAGCAGATAGAAGAGGCTCTCTCTCTCTGTAAGTCTGCCTTTCAAATAAAAAAAAAATACATTTAAAAACACAATACAACAGCTACTACATCTGTATTCAAGAGTTTAAATAAAACTGTTTGCAATAGATGCACAAACTAGAAAAATAACCCAGTGGAAATTCTAGAACTGAAGAATATCTAAAACTTAAAATTTCATTAAATAGGCTTAACAAAACAAATAAGTATAGAGTCACTAAATTTAGACACAAATCAGTAGAAATTATTTAATGTGAAAAAATTATTTTAAAGTGTGAACAAGTCCTTATTTATCCCAGACACAACATTAAGGATCTAATCTGGATACAGCTGAAGTCCCCAAAAAAGTAAGACAAAGAAGAAAATATTTGAAGGAATATGATCTAAATTTTTATTTGGTGAAAGATATAATGTTTTAGTTTTAAGAAGTGCAACAGGGCCCAGCCACGTGACTTAGTGGCTAAAGTCTTCGCCTTGAACGCATCAGAGATCCCATATGGGTACCAGTTCTAATCCCGGCTGCTCCGCTTCCCTTCCAGCTCCCTGCTTGTGGCCTGGAAAAGCAGTCGAGGATGGCTAAAAGCCTTGGGACCCTGCACCCGTGTGGGAGACCTGGAAGAAGCTCCTGGCTTCAGATCGGCACAGCACCGACCATTGTGGTCACTTGGGGAGTGAATCATTGGACAGAAGATCTTTCTGTCTCTCCTCCTCTCTGTATATCTGATTTTCCAATGAAAATAAATAAATCTTTAAAAAAAAGTGCAACAATCTACAAGCAAAATTTAAAAAAAAAAAATGCTCGAGAGAGCAAACAGCTAGCCCAGTTGGGGAGAGTTGGGGAGGTGGCCCCAGAAGGTTAGAAGGATGAGGGTCAGTTTCCTGAAAGTGAAGGCCTGAGGCCATTTCCATAGCTTCAGTTTCACTGATTTACTGATCGCAGCTTCATAAAAACATAGATTCTACAAAGCAATATCTGGATTGACAGCAATTCAGTTTATTCTTAGCAAAGCCTGTTGCTGCCTGGTGGTGACACCAAGCACGCTGCAGAACGGGGGAAGCAATGAAGCACGGGACCAGCAGGATGTGCAGCACACGCTGGGTTTCCAAGGGCCAAGAGAATGTTCCAGTGGAACATCTGGTATGTCTCAAATTCGGAGACTTTGATACGAAATTTGCACCAAATTTCTGATGATTCTCCTTGCTTCCCAGATTGCAGTGTGACTCACACACCATAGGGCACGGTCAGCCGGACTCAGGCCTCACCCAACGACAGCAGGTTCTGGTAGTTCTCCACCATCACACTGCTGTACAGGCGCCTCTGAGCCGCGTTCAGCCACTCCCATTCCTCCCGGGAAAAGCAAACTGCCACATCCTTGAAGGTCAACAAGTCCTGAAATGACACAAAGGCATTCCTGACCAACCGCTTCTCACATGCACGCAGGACTCCAAGTTAAAGCACCAACACTGTTTCTACTTTATTTGAGAAGAAAAAAAAATTCAGCTGCAACCCAAAACTGCACTATTCAAGTGTTAAGCTGCTGTGTGGATGATGGTGATGATCCATTTTGTGGCTGGTGGAAAATGGGTAGGAGCCACAGGGCAAACAACAAGCATATCCATGGAGGGCACAGATTCCACAGATCCAACGTGACTGCGGGCTGCCTCCCCATGGTCACTTAGCTCTTCCTGTCACTGTAACACAATTACCACGGCTGCCACTGCCCCTCCCCATCAGGCACCTGATGCCATGACACTCTGACTTCCCAGAATGCACCAGAACAGGAGGAGCACTCAAGCCTGGCACAGACACCATCTGCTGTGCCTCCAGATCATACACCGGGATGGACCCAAAGCTCCCTCTTCTAGCCCTCTTGGGCTAGCCCACATTCCTGATTGAGCGTGGATGCTCACCGCTCAAGCCAACAAAGTCTTGCTTCTCTGCCTTTAGTTCGCCTCATCCTTGAATTCTTTCTTGCTTCAGAGACAAGAACAGACCCAGCTACCTTCCAGACAGAGGCAGAATGTATCTTCCCGCTCCTTACGAGGAAGTGGTACATAGTGACTTCCATCCAAAGAAAACAATATGAGAAGCAGAGAGCCTTAAAGTGGGGAAAGCAACACTGGAAGTTGATCAAGTTGCCCTTGATTAGCACCAACAATAATAAGCAATGCTGGGGCCCGGCGCGGTGGCGCAAGTGGTTAAAGGTCCTCGCCTTGCACACCTGGGATCCCATATGGGCGCCGGTTCTAATCCCGGCAGCCCCGCTTCCCTTCCAGCTCCCTGCCTGTGGCCTGGGAAAGCAGTCGAGGACGGCCCAAAGCCTTGGGAACCTGCACCCGCGTGGGAGACCCGGAAGAGGCTCCTGGCTTCGGATCGGCATAGTATCGGCCCGTTGCGCTCACTTGGGGAGTGAATCATCGGACGGAAGATCTTCCTCTCTGTCTCTCCTCTCTGTATATCCGCCTTTCCAATAAAAAAATAATAAAAATAAATCTTTAAAAAAAAAAAAAAAAAAAGCAATGCTGATATCACTGTCACGTGTTCTTGATCTGAACTGATAAGAAAGGAACTCTCTCTGATCATTCCCAAAATCATATCACCCCGTTCGAATTACAAAATACCAGACTTGAGAGACACTGAATGGTAAACGCTGAGCTAAGAATGTAGCCACTCGGGATACTCCATTAAGGGTTAAGGACAGTGGACTCCGAGAGAAGTAGGAATCGGGCCCTGGCACACAAAGCAACATCAGCCAATCCTAAGCAGTAAGACTGACTTGTGAGAGGAAGAGAGGAAACGCCACCAACCTGAGGCATGGTTCTCACCAGCTCAACAGTCAGCTGGCCCTGGGCGCTCTCCTGGAGGCAGCAGTGTCTGTGACGCCAGGGCTGAAGGAAGCGACAGGGAGAGCTGAGGCTCCGGTCTGCAAACTCCATCTCACCCCTCTTCCCTGTGGTCTTTCATCCCACGCACGCACAACTGGGTGATTACAGGCAACTCTGGGCTATGGAGAGGAATATGGCCTACAACTCTTTCTTCAATGCTATAGGATCCAGATTTAACTTTTTTCCAAAAGCTGCTTTCTCACTATTTGGTCTTCTAAACATAAAAATAAGAGGGGTGCACATTTGGTTCAGCAGCGAAGTCCCTACTAATGACGCTTTCACCCCCCAGTAGAGTACCTAGATTGGAGGTCTGACTCTGATTCCAATTCCAGCTTTCTGCTAAACTAGACGTGGGAAGCAGCAGGTAATGGTCCAATCACTGCGTTCCTGCCACTCTCGCGAGACCTGCATGTAGACCCCTGGAGGCAGCAGCTGATGGCCCACTCACCTGGGAGACCGGGACTGAGGCCAAGCTCCTGACTTCAGCCTTTCCCAATCCCAGCCGTTACAAGATCCGGAGAGGCAGCTAACATATGGGAAATCTCTGTCAAATGGACAAACAGATAAATAAGAGATTCACTAGGCACGCAGAATAGAGTGTCATTTCATTTTTTAAAATAATCCTATAAAAGTAATTTCTTCTCTTTTCTAGGGAAAAGTGATCTGATCCCCGTCTGAGTCTGTTTCAAGTGCGGACTCTCAAATACCACTAGAGGGCTTGGCACGATAGCCTAGTGGCTAAAGTCCTTGCTCTGCACCCCTGGGATCCCATTTGGGTACCAGTTTGTGTCTAGCTGCTCCACTTCCCACCCGGTTCCCTACTTGATGCCTGGAAAAGCAACTGAGAACGGCCCAAAGCCTGGAGACGTTGCACCTGCTTGGGAGACCTGGAAGAAGTTCCTGGCTCCTGGCTTCAGATCGGTACAGCACTGGCCGTTGCGGTCGATGGGAGAGTGAATCATCGGATGGAAGATCTTCTTCTCTGTCTCTCCTCCTTTCTGTGTATCTGACTTTCCAATAAAAATAAATAAAATCTTTCCTTTAAAGATTTATTTATTTTTATTGGAAAGTCGGATTTACAGTGTGAAGCACAGATAGAAAGATCTTGCATCCATTGATTCACTCCCCAAATGGCCACAACAGCCAGAGCTCAGCCAATCCAAAGCCAGGAGCCAGGAGCCAGGAGCCTCTCCCAGGGTGGGTGCAGGGTCCCAAGGCGTTGGGCCATTCTCCACTGCTTTTACAAGCCATGAGCAGGGAGCTGGAAGGGAAGTAGAGCAGCCGGGATATGAACCGGCGCCCATATGGGATCCCAGGGGTGCAAAGCAAGAACTTTAGCCACTAGGCTACCGCATTTCTCCATGAATTTTCCCAACTACTCTCATTCTTCCTGATCGCACAGAAGACTCAATCACAAGCATCCACGAGCCGCAAGCACACGTGGCAGTCGCGTACAACGTGCCCTCGCGAGGGCTCTGCGTGCAGCCAATGTGGAGATTTACAAACACCTCCTCATACGTGCCAAACCTCAATTCTCTCACGCGCCCACATGGCACTGCTCCTTACGTCCGTCTCACCCACACACACATATCTGTGCAGCCTCTGGTGAAACAGCCCGGGCCACACAGTCTTTAGTCAGCGACTTTGGTCTCGCACAGCCACTATTCTTCCCCTGTTCTCACACACAAGCGTATGATGGTCTTTCACAAGCACACTCAGTAGTGTCTTCCAGAGTTACACTGATGGTTCACATACTGTAATCTCTCATACGTAGAAACACACATATCCTGTCTTTCCTATTCCAATTGGCCGTGCCATTCCAGTTCTCTCCTCCTCGGACACACACACCTGCATACAGCCGTGCACAGGCCAGGCCACGGCCTCCTGGATCGCATGCTCAATCATTCTAGTTCTCACCACCTGAGTTACTGAGTCGCTGGTGCTCGTTGCCCCTGCAGCCCCCTCCCCTCCCAGATGCACAGGCGAGGCGGGGCAGGAAGCCCTAACCTAACCCCACCTTGATTTTTCCTGTGAAGTTACCAAGGAGCTGCCAGCCACCAGTAAATCATCATTATAGACACGAGTGGGGAGACAGGAGACTTGTGGGAGCTGGGCGCCGGGATCGGGACATCTGCGCGAGTCCTTCACAGCATCTCCCTCCCACACGGCCACACACACTTCCCTTACACTCCCAGGTGTCTTTCACACACACTCCCCACCACATCCTTCACTCTCGCTCTGGACTCCAGCGGGGCCGTCTCTGCCTCACACACTCACACATCCCTCATCTTTCACACCCATGGCCTCGCATGGCCCTTGGCTTTCACACCCATGAGCTCACGCGCCCCCTCATCTTTCACACCCGCGAGCTCACGCGTCCCCCTTCACACACACCCCCGCGTGTCTGGCCTCACTGCAGACTCCCGCAGGCCAGCCAGCCTCCCGCGCGCTCTCCGCCGGGTCCCCCGCCGCGGGTCCCGGACACTGGTCACGCTCACGACCCCGGCCGCCTCTCCCGCTCACACACTCACAGGCCTCACACACTGACCGCACGTCCTCGCACGGCCGGCTCTCGCACTCGCCCACACCAACCCGGGCCGGTCTCACTCTCCACAGGCCGGTCTGTCCGCTCCCGTCACGCCCCCGGCTCCAGCTGGCCCGGTCACCTGCCGAGGCCACCGAGGCCTCCGCGCAAGCCTCGGGGAGCCCGAACTCACCCGGAGACGGCCCGGCAAAGCCCCGGGCTCCGACTCGCAGCTCCCGCGGGGCGAACTCAGTCGGCAGCCCCGGCCAGGCAGCGCGACGCTCTCAGCCCGGGAACGCCAGGCCACACTGGGGGCGCCCACTGCGCAGGCGCCCAGCGAGGTGGGCGTGGCCCGGAGGAGGGGCGTGGCCTCGAGCGGCCGGGCGTCACAGTCGTTGATTCTGCAGCAGGGGCGGGGCCGGTGGGTATGCGCGTGCGCAGACGGCACGCCGTCCGGCTCCCGCCTCCTGGAGACCAGAGGCGTCCCTAGCTACGGGATCCTGGGCACAGCCAGAGCCCAAGGCCGCGGCGGAGCCCTGCGACCCTGGGTTCCACGGCAGTGTGAGTTGGATCAGATCAGCCGTGACTCCGCCAAGTAGTGCGTCTGTCACACCATCGTTGGCATCCAAGGCGTACACGCATGCGTGGGGACCAGACCGCTGGGCTTGAGCCCAGCCTGATGCCAGTTGAAGGGTGAATGGTCCCGGTTTGCGGGAACTCTGCCTGAAGGGAGAGTCGGATCCCACAGGTCGAGGGCTCGGCCCCACAAGACTATGCCCTGGCCTTCCCAATTCTGAGGCCAGTCTCAAGCTCCACGCTTCATCTGGCCATTTGGTTGATGGACTGCGTTTCCCATGACCCTTCTTGGCCCCATCGTTTGCTAAAGTAAGTCATTGGACTCAGGGAAACATATGTTCTACTTACGAGCTTATGGTGTTACATGCTTCGAAGGGCATGCAAGAGCAGCCAGACAGAGATATGTGAGGTTAGGTCTGAGAGATCGCAGGAGCTTCCTCCCCGGGGAGTCAGGGGGACGAGGGGGGAGGCGGGTCGAGCCTCCCTGAGCCTGGATTGCTCTCCTTCACCTTCTGGAAGCCTCCTGAACTCGTCCTTTAAGTTGTGTATTTGTTTTTATCTTCATTATGAAGGCAACACTGAATTCTTAAACTTTTGTGATTGGTTTAATTTTCAGCCCCCCCCCACACACACACACACACTCCTTACCTCTGGGTAATGTTAGCTTTACCACTCACCTGAGAAGGAAAATACCGGCAGGCCTTCATTATGCAAAGAGGAGAGGGCCACAGTGGAAAAGACAAGCTGGGCAGTGGAGACAAAGGTCTCATCCCTCTTCTGCCATGGGTGCTGGCGTCAGCCCTGCTTGGGATCTGATCAGACAGGGCATGTTGGCCTTGGTCCATCCTTGGCCCGTACGTGACCTTGGCTGCCTTCGGGGCATGGCAGATCTCTGGCTGAGGTCCCTGTGGTGTCCATCCACTTCTCATAGAAGTGTTAGCCATCAGGTTCCCGTGGCAAACAGGCCCCATTTTGTAATTAGAATGATTCCCACAGGTTACCCACAGTAAACCTGGGCATGTTTAAAGCAGCAAGCTTGTTACAGCAGCAAGATGTTCACCCTCACTGCTGGAAGATTATGGGCAGGCGGGGAATTCAGGAACCTAGGTCAAAAAGCAAAATTTTAGCAAAAAAGAAAAAAACCTTATTCCTCTACTGATTTAAGAAATGACAGGAATCGTGGCAGGAATCTGAGTGGGGGGTGTGTGTGTGTGTATGTACATTCAATAGTTGGGCCTATACAGGACGGCTGCATCTGTACTCAACATGTACATTTGTTCTTGCCTTTGTTTACTAAGCAATATAATTATGTATGTGGATTTACATTGTACTAGGTGTTGTAAGAAATACTTCAGAGAGATTTAAAGTGTGTGGGAGTGTGTGTTTATGGCATATGCAAGCATTATGCCACTGTATCTGTGGATTTTTGTATTTGCAGCAGGGCCTGGAGCCAACCCCCTCAGGGATGTTAAGAGGAATTCTGAAATGGGCATGCTGGTCCAAGACCTTGCTATTCTGCTTCTAATCTGGTTTCCTGTTAATGTGCCTCGGAAGGCGGCAGCAGTGGTGGCTCATGTACCTGAGCCCCTGCCATCCATGTGGGGAACTGGGATGGAGGATGGTTGAGCAGGGGCACTGTTCTTGCCGCGGCAGGAGGTGGACAAAGTTAACCTGGTCCAACAACCCATTGGCATGCACGAGAACTGCCACTGGGGGGAGACTCGATGCAGTCCTTCACTGGGACACAACCCCTGCAAGTGAGCACAGGAAGCAAGGCAAGGAGCAGCCCAGACAATGCCGGGTTACAGTACCCGCCGGCATATATGTGGGTCAGGTCTGCGGACAGACCAGTCTGGACCAGCACATGACATCCACTGGCAGATATGAAAACCAGGGAGGGGGCAGGAGGAGCCGGATCAGACCGCAACGCCAGCCGGTTACATCAGGACCTGGACAGCAATCAGACTGGGCTGGGATAGGCTGCAGCACCCACCAGCAGGAGCTGGAATAAGGGCACACTAGACTAGGCCAGGCTGGAGAGTAAGATTGCAGATGCTGAGATGAGCTGAGTCCTGCCAGCCTGGGCCCAGCAGGGGCCAGGTTCGTGAGTCCCAGGGGTGGAGGAACTGGTGGGGCTTGGGTCTCCTGGCCCAGGTCCCAGGACCGCCTACTAGGTTGAGTGCTGGGTTCACGAGCCCCAGGGGTGTGGGATCTGCCAGGGCTTGGGATGCCTGGCCTGGGTCCTTGGACTCACCTGCAAGAACGTGTCCTACTTAATGAACAAGGTGGAGCAGTGGACACAGGCCCTGTTTTGAAAGGAGAATAAGGCAGCTGCTCATTTGGTGCTGTAGGAGAAGAAGAGCAAAACTGGCCAACTACCCCAAACAAACAGACAAAAAAAAATCTCTGTGAATGGAGCCAGTGGACATTGGGTGACATCATCCTCGGATCGGTGCAATCAGCAGCATTTCAGAACTATGCAAATCACTTGGACAGAACCCTCGGAAAACGTGCACATTGAGACGTGAGGCGGCTCCTCATCCCTGGGTGCTGGGATGTGTGGACAGTCGTGAGTGGTTCCCCTTTGTCTCTCTCCTTCCCCCAGGAACAAGAAGAAATAGCAAATTTGGAAGCAATGAATTCACCCAGTTTTCCCTAAACCTTGATCCTTCTCACCTTCATCAGTCCTGTAATCATTACAAAATTTATATATAAAATGTATATATCTCCAGAAGTTCAAGCCCTTGGTTTAATCCTGCAAGTCAAACTATACAAGGGAGAATTTTAATCCGTTGGTTTGCTACTTATTAGGCATCTGTATCCTAAAAATATATATTTTGCTTCAATATTTATGGTACACAAAAATCAGTTTTGTACTTAGCCACAAAGAAAAAATGTCAAATCCAAAAAGAAGGTATCATCAGGCCACATTTATCAAACTGAAATAGAATAAAACCTGAAGGTGTACCCTTAGGATGCAAATTTACAAAATAACTGAAATAAAACCAATAAAGGTTCACATCCCTTAAATGAGAAGGTGCCACAGAGGGCATTCTAGAGCCGGCCTCCTCCCGGTGTACAGGGATCTGGCAGCGCCTCGGACTCCTTCCTTCTCCTGCAGAAAGCTGCAGTGTGCGCGTGGCGTACGCTCCCTTAGGGAAATGCTCAGCAGCCAGTGAGAAAGCAAGCAGCCTTCTACTATACCTCTTCCGGACCAGAACCCTTGTCCGGGGCGGCAGCCGCACATGGGGCACAAACGGCCACCCCAAGCTGCACAGGCTCATGGGTTAGCATTGATACATTGGCGGAAATGGGCACAGCTGGTGGGTAGGCAACCAACATCTGTCTATGATAAATAAAAAAAAAAAAAAAATTCTAACCCCAAATACGAATCACAAAGTCAGAATAAGAATATTGTGCAAGCACACTTGCTAGGTCTTCACTCTGCTACTTGGTGGTTCTGTCTCCTGGCTGTCCGGTGGTCCATGGGGAGAGCATCTGTGTGGTGGTCTTGCATAGTCCATGGGGAGAGCATCTGTGTCTAAGCCATCAGGCACATGCACCAACGTGGTTTAAACTATTTACATCCATAGAATTTTCTCAAATAGGAAGTTTCCGACTCCCAATCTCTGAGTGCAGGCATTTTCACTTGTTGTAATCTTCAAGCCTTTCTCCAAGACACCGGAGTTAGCTCTGACCATTCCAAGCTGACGGACTCTCCTTGCTGCTTCCACTCATATGGTGGCTTGCCAACATAAATTCTCTGATAATTGCTAAGGGACATGTACTGATAGGCCTTTCCACATTCAGGACATTCACGTGCATTTCTCTATTCTGTACCTTCTGCTGTTGAGCAGTGGTTAAACTACGAGCTAACACTCTCCTACGTTCCTTGTAGTTACGGGGCTTTTTCGCAGCGTGAATTACCTGGTGTTGAGTCGGCTGGGAGCAATAGCTAACAGCCTTCCCGCACTCCTGACGTTCAGAGGGCTTTTCGCCTGTGTGAGTTCTGCAGTGAACAGTCAGATGGGAGACTCGCTTGAAGGCCCTACCACACACCTTACACTCATAGGGCTTCTCTCCGGTGTGAATTCTCTGATGTTGCTTCAGCTGTGAACTCACTCGAAAGGCCTTTCCACAAACGTGACACGCATAGGGTTTCTCACCAGTATGAATTCTCTGATGTCGAATAAGAGTTGAGCCCTGGTTGAAGGCCTTCCCACACTCCTTGCACTCATAGAGTTTTTTGCCAGTGTGAACGGTCTGATGTTGAATCAGCTGGGACCGATGGCCAAAGGTCTTCCCACATTCCTTGCACGCGTAGGGCTTTTCGCCAGTGTGAATTCTGTAATGCACTTTAAGGTGTGAAATCCGATTGAAGGCCTTGCCACATTCTTTACACTGGTAGGGCTTCTCCCCAGTGTGGATCCGCTGATGTTCAATCAACTGCGAGCTTCGACTAAAGGCCTTGGCACACTCCTTACACTCATACGGTTTCTCCCCAGTGTGGACTCTCTGATGTTGTATGAAATTCGAGCCCGAATTGAAGGCTTTCCCACATTGCTTGCATGCATATGGCTTCCTGCCAGAGTGGATGTTCTCGTGCTGACTTAGCCGCGAGCCGTATTTAAAGGCCTTCCCACACTCCTTACATCTATGGGGTTTCTCAGAAGTGCAAATCCCTCCAGGATTAGTGAGCAAATCCTCTTGCCAAGAATCTTTTCTACATTTGTCATATACAAAATGCTTATCCTCTGTATGAATTATCGGACAAAAAGTAGGGCAAGACTGCTGGTCAAGTGCGGGGAGTTCTTCCTGACGGAAGTGTCCACCTGGGTTTCCCGGGTGGCTGTCGAGCTGCTGTCCGCGAGGCCAACTGTCTGGGACACTTGAACACTCAAGAGCATCACTTCTGAGATTTCCCCTTCTGTCCAGCTGGGGTGACTCAACTGCCCAAACACGCCGCCTTGCAGGTGATCCCCTGGTATCATACTGGGACTCCAATCCTGAAAGACACAAAAAAGGGCAGGTGCTTGTTTATTCCCTTTCCTGGAAAAAGAATTATAGGCACAATCAGAAGGTTGAGTTTGAGAATATCTGTAAGTTCTTGCAGCATTTAGGCAACCCGCAAGTGGGCAAATTTGGAGGGGAGTGAACCAGCAGATGGGGGAGCCCACCCTCCCTCTCTGTGTAATTCTGCCTTTCAAATAAAATGCTGACATGACTTAATTTCCCATGAACTGCATTTTTTCCAATGTTTCCATAACCAACAATAAAATCGCTGGTTACCTGGGTCTCAGACCATGAGAAACTGGGCAAGAAGGAAGAGAATGTTCCAGCAACGCAGATATCCTGCCTTGACTGTGGTGATCACGGTGTGTGTGTGGAAACCTGTCACCACTCATCAACATCACACCTAAAACATGTATTTGATTAACTGAATATGTCATGCCCCAACAGAACCCATTTTAAAAATGATGCATATTTTACAAGATTAAAATAGTAGCAGCTGTAACTCCTTCTGGAGAAATGGACTGTTGTGACAATGCGGGGAAATCAGCCGGAGGGTGGGAATTAGGGCAGAGGAATCCCAGACTAAAGGAAACCGTATCATACAAGATTTTAAATCAAAATTTAAAAAAAAAAAAAGAAGAAATAGTAGTAATGGTTGTGTAGCAATATGGGGGTATTTAAATATCACTAACTTGTACACTTTAAAAGGGTAAGGTTGGGCCGGTGTGGTGGCCTAGCGGCTAAAGTCCTCACCTTTAACGCACCAGGACCCCAAATGGGTGCCGGTTCCAATCCCAGCAGTCCCACTTCCCATCCAGCTCCCTGCTTGTGGCCTGGGACAGCAGCTGAGAACATCCCAAAACCTTGGGACCCTGCACCCGCGTGGGAGACCCGGAGGAGGCTCCTGGCTTTGGATCAGCATAGCATAGGCCGTTGCGCTCACTTGGGGAGTGAATCATCGGATGGAAGATCTTCCTCTCTGTCTCTCCTCTCTGTATATCTAACTTTGTAATGAAAATCTTTAAAAAGAGAAAAAAAGGAGGCAAAACTATTACAAGGGGAGCCCGGTGGGAAGGGTGGAGGATGGGGGCGAGGCGCCTCAGGAGGGACCAGGGAAAGCCCGTCTCTAGGAGTAGGGCACTTGTCGTGGGACTGCTTTAGCTCTCCTGAGAAGAGGCGTCGGGAACCCAGGCCCCTCAGCGCGCCGGGCCCACTGCAGCAGCTGGCTCCGTTCTAATTCCTGCTGTGTTGTGACGGAGCCACACGCCTTGTATGTTACTCCATTTCAAGGACAAAACCGAATTAGAAGATGACTTCATTTTGCTGCAAAAACATTTTGGAATGCATTCAGTGTTCATGCCTTCCATGAGCTTTCTGAAGGGACCTCAGATCTTTCACAATGATTTAAATCAGAACTGTTAACAAGAAACTTTACACAACGTATCTTCCACCTGTGCAAATCTCTTCCCTACCATGCCATTATGTTTCTTATTAATATTTGCACTGATTTGATCTTTAAGAGATCTAACTTGTTTTACTTTTGTTTTGGTTAAGCATTTTGAATATACTTCCTTGTGTTTGTGAAGAGATGAATGCTGGCCTGTCGCTCCCCGCGAGAGGCCGAGCTGACCGACAGCAGACTCCTGCGAGGGTGGTTCTCTCGCGTTCCTGTGCAAGGCTGAAAATCGCGTGCACTCGCTCCATCTTTGTTAACTAGCTGACTTCCATTTGAATTTGAAGAAGTTGGGATATATTTACAAAAAAAGAAAAACAAAACGAGCTGTACTAACCTACCTGATATGCATGCAGGCTTCCACGGTAAAAAGGAAAAAGCTCCTTTATAACATTATGCTAATAATAAATGAGGAAGAATAAAGTTTTCATTTTGTTTTAGATCACTATTTTATATTCATTCGAGTCACAGAAGATCTGAGAGAAAACTCCATGGATTCTGCATCCGACAGATGCAAAATGCACGCGCACAGGTACACGTTCTCAAAACCCCCAGCCCAGGCGTGGCTCTAGCCTCCCGCGCTCACAGCCAGAGCGCAAGCCCTCCACACGCCGCCTCCGCCCTCCTGGGGCCCCGGGCTTCGGCTGCAGCCAGGCTCCTCAGTCTCTCGGGGCACCCAGTGCTTGCCCTGTCGAGTCTGACACACGCCAGCTACAACTGGTATCTCCCCAATGCACCTCAGCTAAGATGCTTCACGCCGCCAGCCGTCAGTGCCACGCACCCCAATGGAACCCCAATGGAAACGGCCCTTATTCTTTCACAGATTCGCATTCCCACGCATGCGTGTCAAAGCCTGTTTCTTTCCACAGTGTAGGCTGCGCACGCGTTCAACGTGCAACTCTCCCTACAGTGTAAGTTCTGCCCACCTTGCCAGTAGCCCACTCCACGGCATACAGTAACTCCTTGCTGACCAACACGCAGCTACAGAAAAGCAGTCACAAAGGGTGAGTGGCACTGGCTAAGGAGCCCCTTGAGACAGCCAGATCCCACCTCGCAGTGGCAGCTTTAGAGTCCCACCTCCGCTCCTGGTTCTAGCTTCCTGTGGCGCTCCGCCTGGGCGGCAGCACTCGGCTCAGGCAGACGGAGAGCCACCAACATGGGAGACTTGGCAGACTCCAGCCCTGGCTGTCGCGGGCACTGGGCAGTGAACCACTGGAGGACAGACCCTGCTTTCTGCCCTTCAAACAGTATAAACTGCCTAAACTGGAGTAACAGAAAAGTGGTAAAAATAAATACATATGAACATCTTCCCAAAGAGAAAATACTTTCCTTAGGAACCACCAGCTTTGTACTCAGGCTCAAATGCAAGTGAAAATGTGAAATGTTTCGGGAAGGATGGAGCAAGTCGCCCTGTCCAGTGCTGCTGGCCGCCCGAGGACGACGACGAGCACCTCAGGCTTTCCGAAGCTGGAGGCTCGGGGGGACAGTTTCCAGTACGAGCCCTGTTCTTGCCAAAAGCCAGCGTGCCCCCTACAGCGGCTGCTTCCCTCACTCACCTGGACCCAGCTCCTGCACTGCCTCCCTCTCCTTGCAGGGCTCTCCGCCTTGCTCCAGAAAGCAGATCACATCAGGTTTGGAAATAAGAAGACCTAGAGACAAAATGTGCCACCTTAGTATCTTGTAGGGCAGAGGGCGGGGAGAGGGGGCAGAAATGGAATCAGGGCAGGTCACTGAGCAACGGTAACTATGACAACGGCAGGGCTGTGACATCGTAGCGGGCGGACTGCAACGTAACCTCGAAACAACCACCTAGTCGCAAAATGAAGGCCAACAGGACAGGCTTGCCCAAGAGAGAGCCCAGCCGGAGCGCCTTACCCAGGGACACCAAGCTGCTGTAGGTCTCCAGCATGACGTCTCTGTACAGGTCCCTCTGGGCCGGCGCGAGCCATTGCCACTCTTCCGGAGAGAAGACTACGGCCACATCTCTGAACAGGCCTGAGCCCTGCGTCAACAGGCAGGAGGGAAGCGGTGCGTTTCCGCGCGTCACGGTGGGGTGAGAGCAGGTGTGGGGGGCCCCGCAGAAAGGCTTGTTCTGAGCAACAAGAAAGAAGAGGCTGACTGTGGGCAGATGACAGGTGTGAATAGCACAGGATGTTCCAACATTCCAAATCTCTCGCTTTGTTGCAAACCAAAGCCCTTACTCACAGATATGGGATCAAAATTCAAATCAAACCAAATGGAGTTTTCCTTACAGCGCAGCAAAACACGTCCGCTCTGCCTGGAAATGCTGTCAATTCTCAAAGTGATAGATATGGCATTTTTATACTTTGGTTATATCCAAAAGCTTTTCATGGACTATCTCCAAACACACCACTTAAACATATTTTACAGAGGGCCTGGCATGGTAGCCTAATAGCTAGAAGTCCTCACCTGCAAGCGCCGGGATCGCATATGGACGCCAGTTCATGTCCCGGCAGCTCCACTTCCACCCAGCTCCCTGCCTGCGGCCTGGGAAAGCAGTCGAGGACGGCCCGAAGCACTGGGACCCTGCACCCGTGTGGGAGACCCGGAAGAGCTCCTGGCTTTGAATTGGCTTGAGTCCGGCCATCGTGTCTACTTGGGAGAGCGAACCAGTGGACGGACTACCTCTCTCTCTGTCTCTCCTTCTCTCTGTAAATCTGACTTTCCAATGAAAATAAATAAATATCTTTAAACATATTTTACAGGAAAAATGTTTTCCCGAAGCAGTACTGAGCCTAGCCGTCAGGACATGCATGTCACCCGGAGTCCCAGCACTGGGTCCCTGGGGCGTGACCGCAGCTTCCCGAGCGTGCAGCCTGGGACGAGGCAGTGCCAGCTCAGCGACTCGGTTCCTGGCCACACGTCACAGCCCTGGCCTGAGGTCCCAGCTCCCCGCTCCCGCTCTGGCCCAGCCCTGGACACTGAGGGAACCAACGGATGAAAACCTGCTTGGTCTTCTCAATCACGTTTTTAAACATTTAACTTTTTCTACCTTAGAAACAGGATTTTTCATCTGTCAGCACTTTTTTGAAGACCTAAATGGTTATGACAAAACCTGTGGCAACTTTCCAATGAAAATAAATATATCTTTTAAAAAAAACTTGTCACAAGTGTTTTTTATGAGACAAAACATGAAAAACACTTTTTTTTTATTGCAAAGTCAGATATATAGAGAGAGGAGGAGAGACAGAGAGGAAGATCTTCCGTCCGATGGTTCACTCCCCAAGTGAGCACAACGGCTGGTGCTGCGCCAATCCGAAGCCAAGAGCCAGGAGCTCTTCCGGGTCTCCCCCATGGGTTTAGGGTCCTAAAAGGCTTTGGGCTGTCCTCGACCACTTTCCCAAGCCACAAGCGGGGAGCTGGATGGGAAGCGGGGCTGCCAGGATTAGAACTGGCATCCATATGGGATCCCAGCACATTCAAGGCGAGAACTTTAGCCACTAGGCTACCGTGCCGGGCCTAAACACTTTTCTTCATGTACAGTTCCTATCAAGTGAGAAGAACAACTCGGCCTCTTACTTTGTTTCCAGAAGTTGGAGCAGATCGCCAAGACTCCTCCGGCCCTGAACACGCGCCCACTGGCTGGCCCCCCGGCCCTGCAGCTCACCCCTCAGGTCCGCACTGCTGCGCTCCCAAGTGAGGAGCCGAGGCTTCTGACATTTCACGCCTGGGGCTGCCAGCTGAGCCCCAGCTCCACACCCTAACAGAATCCGCCCCCAAAGCAGAACCCGAAGAGACGCCGCGCCTGGGCCACCCAACGCCATTTCGCCATGTCATCGCCCCACTGCTGATCTGTCTCTTCAAACGGCAGTATCCACAAGGACGCTCTCATCTCGTCAACAGGAACAACCTCTGTTCCCCTTAGCCTCCTGGCGGAAGGCTGAATCCCCCGCACACCCAGAAAGCATCCATGGGGAGGGGCAATGGGCGGGAGGCTCAGCGCCTGGACTTCAGAATTCCCTAGACTGGGAGCCTCTGGGAACGAAACTCCTGAATGGAACCCAGTGTGAGGTTTCAGGATGAGCAAAGCAAATATTTACATCACTTTAAAACTCACGAGGGACATGACTTCCAGAGTGTCCAGGGCTGATGGGTCCTCCTGGTTTCTCATTCGGCAGATGCCTGGGGTGGCTGCGCTGGGGGAGGAGAGAAAAACGTGAGAGGCGAGACTCGCCCGGCAGCTCCCAGGATAACAAGGTCCCGCCGGCCCTCCACCTGCCGGCCCTCCACCTGCCGGCCCTCCACCTGCCGGCCCTCCACCTGCCGGCCCTCCACCTGCCGGCCCTCCACCAACAGCACTACCTCTACGTTACAGCCTCAGAAGCACAGAGCCCATGGTCCTTTCCAAACCAGTGCCAAGGCGCTCGGAGGCTCCGTGTCTCACACAAAGCTGGCAGGAATGCTGAGAGCTGTTCCCGCTGCTGAGATCCGCACGGCTCCTCAGGGGAAGAAGGGAGCGCACGCAGCTTGTTGTAGCCTTGCTGGGAACAAGTCACCCAGCTTCCTCACACGATCAATGCTAGCAGAGAAGGTTCCCTGGCTCTGGGACACTTCCAAGCTCACAAGACCCCCAACTCCGTCTGAGCTTCATGGACAGACTTCCTGGTCCCACCGTGAGTCACAGGTGGGGCAGGGCTGCAGCAGACGAGCGGACAAGTCAGCTGGCACATTCTCACGGACAGCGTGCCAAACTGCGCCCGCCAGCTCATCGGCAGCTCGACACGAGGCACCTGTGCCACCAAGGGGCTGGCCTCTTCCTGCAGGAGCCCTGTCCAGAAGCCAAGCAGCTCCAGAGTGTGTGCTGGGCGACCTGCCCTGTGCACACTCTATCCTGTATACAAGGAAGAACAGCCAGCCGGGCGGAAGGCAAGCGCACTCACCCGACCCCACGGGCGAGAGACGGTAAATGCGGCAGGCCTTCGAGTGCTGCCATTTAGCCACGTGCGCTCAGCACTGACCGTCAGGTGTCTTGTAGAGGAGGGTGAGACCAGCGCCTTGTGCATCACAGCTTTCAAATTCAAAGCACGTGGAGGAGAAACTGACTAGGGCTGGACGGCAGTGACAGGCAGGTTGTTCCTCACAGCATTCGGCTCTCCAAGCTCGGCTGCAATAGCTGTGGAGTTGTAACACGCACGATGCGCGGCCGCCTCCTCTGCTTCCCTGCTGCCGAACACGGGATTCCAACGAACTCTTCAAGAACACCTGCAAGTGTTAAGTCTTTGGGTAACTCACTCCTGGCGAGCCTCGTGAAAAGAAGCTAAAGCCTCAGTTTCAACAACACAAAAGCGGTCCATCTGAAGGGGTGCACAACAGCAGGACTTTCCGGGGTCCAGGACCCCAGCACCCACCTGAGGCCCAGGCCCCGCGCTGTGACGCTGGGCGCCGACAGGGGGCGCCGGCGGGCGAGGCGCTGCTGAGCCGGAAATGCCGCCGACGGATGTGGACGTCGCGCGTCCCGCTTCCTCTCAGGCCGCGGGATCGAGCCACGCAGAGCCCAGAGGCGCCCGCAAAGCGGCGGCGCTCCTCGCGTGCTGCCTCCTCGGGCCCGGGTGTGGCCGCGGCTGGGCCCCGCGGCCTGGGACGCGCTCCCGCGTCGGCAGCGCCAGTGCAGCCGCCAGGGGCCGAAGATGGCGCAGAGGCTGCACGGGGCCGGCGTCGCAGCGCTTGCTGGGAAGTGTAGTCTTCAGGGCGGACCTCGCGAGGCTTCCTGGGGGCCACGTGTCGGCGTCGCCCCGCGTGCCTCTGCAGCCAAGGCCAAATCCCAGGCTGCCACGGGTAGTGCCGGGGCTTCTGCCGCTTGGTGACCTGTGGGTCCTGGATGCCAGTCTGTCAGTGTGGGGCCCCAGGCACAGCTCCACCCCTGATCTACCTCAGACCCTGTGACCTGTGGGTCCTGGATGCCAGTCTGTCAGTGTCGGGCCCCACGCACAGCTCCACCCCTGATTACCTCAGACCCTGTGACCCCTTGGGCGCGACAGCCAGGTATGTGGATTCAAGCCCGAATGCAGGAGCCCCAGTCCGAGATGATGAAAATTCTAGGAGTTGTTGGAGGAGAGTCTGGGAGTTCGTGTCCTATGGCTGCTTCTGGGAAGAATGAAGAGGCAAATAAAGAAACAAATACTTGATTCTCCAAAGATGATTGTTTCAAGAAATCTGCCACCCTTGCTTTTTACAGGTTTCTTTAGTCTGAGGCAAAAACAGAAATCAGGATGGAGCACAGGTCATGCCGAGCTAGGCTCTTAAATTGACTGGTCTGCATGAGCCAGGGATGCAAGGCCACATCTAAGGCAAAGGCCAACGGACAGGTGAGGAGCTATGCCAAACTGTTCAGAGCACCAACTGGCATGCACATTATCTATGACTGAGAACAGGCCCTGTTGGGGAGCTAAGAGGACACCCTAGCTGGATTGGTGTTCCCACTGAGTGGGAAGCGCAGGGGCTGGTGTGGGGGCTGTGTTCTGGTCTGGATATGGTTACAGTCTCCCTTGGCACAAGTGTGGACTGGAACTGGACACACCAAGCCAGGCTAGACTCTCGCACCATCTGGCGCTCTGGAGAACCTGGGTAGATGTAGAACGGACTAGGCTAGGTCTCTGCCCCTACTGAGCCACGTGTGAGCTGTGTCTTGGAATGGACAAGCCTTGGCTGGGCTGAAACATCCAACAGTAAGAACCAAAATGCGTTGAAGGCCAATCAGGAAAGGCCACTGTTCCTGCTAGGATAGGAGGTGAGCTGAGTAGGGCTGGCTCATGGACATACTGGTATGCACGAGATTTGGCATTGGGAGAGGTTCTGATGGAGGAGCCTGGGCGGCAACTCTGACAGGACACAGTCCCTGCAGGTGAGTGCAAGAAGCATGATAAGGAACAGCCCAAACCAGGCCAGGGAAAGGTATCCACCGGCATACATTTGGCAGAGGTCAGGGGTGGACCAGGCTGAACTAGTTTATATCACCTGCTGACAAATCCGAGCACAGAACAGTGTGGGTTGGGCCAGGTATGGCTGCAACACATACCAGTCCACATAACAGCTGGGATAGGGTGCATGCTGGGCTGGGCTAGACTGTAACCCTCACCAGCATCATCTGGACATGGGGGTGGGCCAGGTTGAGCCAGGATACAGCACCCACTGGCAAATTCTGAGGTGAGGTGGGCCATGCCAGATTGGGCCACAGCGCCAAGTAGTAGGAACCAAGGAGGGAGAGGGTAAAGCTGTAGGGGGAGTTTGGAGGGCCCCCTGCTGGAACACCTCACCCATTAGAGAGTGGGAGTTAAGATGGGGGCAGACCAGACTGGGCAGAGCTACAACACCTGTGGGCCTCATGTGAGCTAGATCAGGGAAGAGCCAGGTTTGGTTGACTGTCCCTACTGGTGCAAGCAAAAATCAGAATGGATAAGGGTTGGTTGGGCCTTGCTGCAACCTCAGCTGGCAGAAGCTGGCACTGGGAGCTGATTCAAGTTAAACTACAGAACCACCCGGAAAGTGCATGATCTGGGAGTAGGCCAAGTAGGGAAATAGTGGGCACCTCCCTCTTGGGTTACCACTCCCACTGGAGAGCATGAAAACCAGGGTAGAGGGTAGGTCTGGTGGGGGTTATTGGGAGCTGCCCCGCCTCGGCTGCAGCTCCCACTGGTTTGTGCAAGGGCCAAGTGTGAGGTGGGCAGAATCAGGATGGACTGTAACACCCATTGGTTCGTGTGGATGACAAGGCTGGAAACAGAACTGACCCAACAATTGCAACTACCAGCTGATTGGGGCAATGGACTGTGCCGGGCCCTGTACTTGCTAGTACACACAAGAATCTGGTCTGGGATCACCTCAGACAAAGTTTCTTTGGGGATCTCCCCAAATCAAACTGCCAGACTCAGAACCCTAACCATAAAGAGAAGTGCAGGTTCCATGGTCTGCCATGGAGTACAAGTGTCTGAGCCAAGCCTCCTTAGAGGCTCAGATGGAGGAGTGGACAGCACAGCCAGGTGCACATGGAGGACATGGCAGTCCTCAGAAACCTGCAGAGGACACCTGGCACCACAACAGAGGACAGAACAAATCAGTCAACTACCCCAGCCCTATGTTGGCAGTGAAAACTGGGCAAACGGAGACTCGAAGGTGGACTATGTCAATCAGTGGATTCTGCAGCGACTTCATCGTGCTTGGAATGGTGAGACTGGCAGCAATTCAGAACTGTTGAACTATCAAAACTGCTTGAGCAGGACCCTCGGAGCATGCCCCACATCAGGGACCTGGGATGGGTGGGAGGCTGGGAGGGGCTTCTCCCTTTATCTCCTCCTTTACCCCAGAAACAAACAAACAAAAAAAAATTGTGGAACTAATAGTCTTACCTGCTTTCCTGTAACCCTTGACCCTCTGTGCCCTAATCAACTATGTAAAGATTGTCAAAAATAAAGGGGAAAAAAGAAATGGTCAAAGTACATGAGCAGGCAATTTTCAAAGGATGAAATATAACTGGCCATCAGATATAGGAAAAAATGTTCAGGGTCACTAGCCACAAGGCAATGCAAATAAAACCACAATGAGATTCCACTTCATGCCAGTTAGAACGGTCATTATTGAAAAAAAAACACAGTAACTTCTGATGAGGATGGGGTTGGGGGAAGCGACTAGGATCCACTGCTGGTAAGAATGGAAGTTTGTCCACCCACCTCAGGACAGTATGCAGAGTCCTCAGATGTGAAAACATCTGCTGTAGAACCCTACCACCGCACTGCTAGGAGCTGACCCAAAGAACCTGAAATCACCAGGGGAAGAGTCACCAGTATCCACGTGTTTCATGTAATTCAATCTACAATAGCTAAGCTGTGGAATTCACTCGGATCCATTAAAGCATGCCAACATAAGGAAAATACGTGCGGGGGCTGGGCAGAGAACAGCACGTGTTTGGCACAGAGTCGTCGTCTAGGTCTCATTTTATTCCTCTCAACTGGAGTCTAGAATTCTATTAACCACAATGCTACTGGTGTCAACTGGGCTGAACCCAGGCAGGGAGAACGACTCTGACTCTAGCTGGCTGCTATGACTTGCACATATGCTGATGATTCCACAGGTTTCATGACTTAAAATTGAATCCCTAGTGTGAGTTCCTGGGATGGCAGGAAGTTAGTCCAACAGAGCTTGTGAGCGGCGCGCTGGGAGGCTGGGGCCCCTGCCGACAGCACGGTGTTTCAGTGCTCAGTCAGCGCATGTGCAAAATGCTGCTTTCCCCTCAAGTCCTAACCAGGAAGTACTTTCACAGGTTTCACTTTTCTTAAAAAGCTGTACGGTCTCCAAAGGAGTTACTCATTTCCCATTTGTATGTTGATGTTTCCACGAGTAACTCTGGAAACCTACTTGTACTTTTAAGAAGAAAAGTTCTCCCCTCATAATTCTTTTCGTCATCAGTGAGTGTGAGACTAAGTGAAGGCTCTAACCCTGTTTCAGAAGAGGCCAAAGGCAGGAGGTTGCAACCCCAAAGTCAGGCTGAAAAAGCGCGCGCCGGGGTGTAACTGAGGGAGCATCTTTCCTTATGACGTCACCCCCACCAGAATGTCAGCTCCACAGGGTAGGCATTTTTGTCCGTTCGTTCACTGTGACGTCCCCAGAGTCTAGAACAGAACCTGATACCCAGAATGCGCTCAAGGAGCAGCCGACGGACGACAGGGACACGCGGGGAGGCGGCTCTGCGGACGGGCGGGCTGGACTCCCGCCTCCGCGCACGCGCACCACTGTCCCCGAGGGCTCCGGCGGTCCTGGCAGGCGGCGTCCACGGCGGGCGGGAGAGCTCGCCGTCCCAGCATGCGCCGCGCCGCGGACTCCATTTCCCAGCGGCCCCCGCGGCGGCCCCGGCTGCCCGTCCGGCGCCACAGCACCTTTGTGAGCGCTGCCAGCGGCCGGAGATCGAGCCCCGGCCCCGGCCCGACTCCCCGAGCGTCCTGTCCATCTAGAGGGAGAAGTCGGTGAGGAGTGCGGGGGGCCCCGCCGGGAACCGGCACAGGGAGAGGCCGTGCCGCCGGGTCTGTGCCCTGCGTGGGATCGTGTGTGACCTTGTGTTTGTGAGGACGCGTGTGGCTGTGTGACACAGCGCGATCGTGTGGAGGGGAGAGGGGAAGGGAGACGCGGTGTGACACGGGGGACCGTGTGGGAGCCGGTCGTGACGGTGTGCGGCCCTGCGGGAGGACCCCGGGGACAGCATGTGACGGGAGTAGCCCAGCAGGGTCAGTGTGTGTGGACAGTGTGCGAGCCTGTCACCGCGGACGGGGTGTGACACCGTGTCACAGGGCAGAGCTCCATGCTCCGGACTGGGGCTCCGACCCCCTGGCCGAGGGCTTCTGATCACAGTGTGGTCTAGACGAGCAGAGCCCAAGCTCCGGTTAAGAGGACGGCTCCTGGCCAGCGCCCCTCCCGCTCTGTTCTCCTTCTGAGGAAACTCTGACAAGTCCACGGACTGGTGATCAGGGGGGCCTCTGCCAAGCCAGACCTGGCCCGGTGTCCTAACGACGGGCG